GCTGCTTGAGCAGGAGGCCGGACTGGAGGACCTCCGGGGTCCCTTCCCGCTCTTATTCCGAGCCCCGAGGAAGGGGATAGACTCAGCTCAGACCACCCACCCCACCCCACCCACCCCACCCACCCTGACCTGGCATATGCACCATGCGGCAGTTGCAGTTCTCGGCCAGGTACCGCGTCTCGCAGTCCAGGCGGCAGGCGGCGGTGCTGTAGTTGGGGAAGAACGCCGACGCGGCGGGGGCGGCCTGGCAGTCCCCCCAGGGGGCCGGCAGGTAGAAGAGCTGCGGGCGAGAGCAGGGCGAGGGTCAGCCCACCCCGCAGGAGGACCCCGGAGTCCCCGGATCACACACACATCCCAGATTCGGGGAGGGGGCTGATTTGGTCCCGCTGGGAAGGGTAGCCCCACCACCCGTATCCCTCCGGGGGCATCGAGCGAGTCAATACCCTCTGCTCCTGGCAGGAGACGAAGGTCTGGAAGCCGGGGGCTACTCCGAAGCCCATCTGGTCGACGGAGGGGGGCTCGCTCTGGCTGTGGATCTGCACCTTCACACCGGCCTCGTAGGAGGTCTCGTCTGCGAGGCACAGAAAGAGGAAGGGCTCTCCTGGGTCAAGGGGGAGATGCAGGGGACCCTTCCCCACCTCCCGGGCCCAGCCGGCTGCTTCCTGGGCCCGGTTGCCGATGCTCTTCCTCCGTCCGGGACCAGGGAGGCTGCTGGGCCCACTGTCCCCCCGAGCCCACCCTGGAGACCCTGGGGTTTGGCGAGCGGTGGAGGGAGACCTCTCCCCGTTGGCAGATCTTCCCTCGCGGCCCTTCCCGGCAGGGCCGGGATGAGTTGGTAGGGCCGCGAGAGTCCCGGGAGGGTCCGTAGCGCTCACCGGTGTCCCCCCAGACGGGCAGGTACTCGTCCTGTTGGATGTTCAGCATGAGCTCCAGGCCGTTGCCCGTCCCACCCTTGGCCGTGGTCAGCAGCTCGTCGCCGGCGGCCCCCGAGTTGAAGGTGTAGCACTTGCCCAGGCGGGTGAAGCTCTGCGGAGGGGGGGGGAGAGACAGTCAGAGCCATGGAGGGGAACCAAGGAGGGAGGGAGGGAGAGGAGAGAGAGAAAGAGAGGGTGAGAAGGAGACAGATGGAGAAAGAGAAAAATTGAGAGGGAGAGAGGGAGACAGATGTGTATATACAGAGAGAAGGGGGGGAAGGAGAAAGATGGAGAAAGAGATGGGGAGAGGAGAGAGATGGATATACAGAGAGAGAGAAAGAGGGAGAAAGAGGGAGAGGGAGAGAGAGGGAAATAGAGATGGAGAGGAGAGAGGGAAAGAGGGAGAGGGAGAGTGATGGGGAAAGAGAAAAATTGAGAGGGAGAGGTGTATATATACAGAGAGAGGGAAGGAGAAAGATGGAGAAAGAGATGGAGAGAGGAGAGAGATGGATATACAGACAGAGAGAAAGAGGGAGAGGGAGAGAGGGAAAGAGGGAGAGGAGAGAGAGAGAGAGAGAAAGAAAGAAAAATTGAGAGAGATGGAGAGAGGAGAGACAGGTGTATATATAAAGAGAGAGAGAGGGAGGGAGAAAGATGGAGAAAGAGATGGAGAGAGGAGAGAGATGGATATACAGACAGAGAGAAAGAGGGAGAGGGAGAGAGGGAAAGAGGGAGAGGAGAGAGAGAGAGAGAGAAAGAAAGAAAAATTGAGAGAGATGGAGAGAGGAGAGACAGGTGTGTATATATAAAGAGAGAGAGAGGGAGGGAGAAAGATGGAGAAAGAGATGGAGAGAGGAGAGAGATGGATATACAGACAGAGAGAGGGAGAGGGAGAGAGAGGGAAAGGGAGACGAGAGAGGGAGAGAAATGGGGAAAGAAAAATTGAGACAGATGGAGAGAGGAGAGACAGATGTATATATACTGAGAGAGGGGGAAAGAGAAAGATGGAGAAAGAGATGGAGAGAGGAGAGAGATGGATATACAGAGAGAGAGAGAGGGAAAGAGAGGGAGAGAGATGGGGAAAGAAAAATTGAGAGAGATGGAGAGAGGAAAGACAGATGTATATATATATATAGAGAGAGAGAGAGAGAGAAGGAAGGAGAAAGATGGAGAAAGAGAGATGGAGAGAAGAGACAGATATACAGAGAAAGAGGGAGAAAGATGGAGAGGGAGAGGAGAGAGAGAAAGAGAGGGAGAGAAATGGGGAAAGAGAAAAATTGAGAGAGATGGAGAGAGGAGAGACAGATGTATATATACTGAGAAAGGGGGAAAGAGAAAGATGGAGAAAGAGTTGGAGAGAGGAGAGAGATGGATATACAGAGAGAGAGAGAGAGAGAGAGAGAGAGGGAAAGAGGGAGAGAGATGGGGAAAGAAAAATTGAGAGAGATGGAGAGAGGAGAGACAGATGTATATATATATATATAGAGAGAGAGAGAGAAGGAAGGAGAAAGATGGAGAAAGAGAGATGGAGAGAAGAGACATAGATATACAGAGAAAGAGAAAGAGGGAGAAAGATGGAGAGGGAGAGGGAAAGAGATGGAGAGGAGAGAGGGAGAGAAATGGAGAAAGAAAAATTGAGAGAGATGGAGAGAGGAGAGACAGATGTATATATATAGAGAGAGAGAAGGAAGGAGAAAGAGAGATGGAGAGAGGAGAGAGATGGATATATATAGAGAGAGAAAGGGAGAAAGATGGAGAGGAAGAGGGAAAGATGGAGAGGAGAGAGAGAAAGAGAGGGAGAGAGATGAGGAAAGAGAAAAATTGAGAGAGATGGAAAGAGGAGAGACAGATGTATATATACTGAGAGAGAGGGGGAAAGAGAAAGATGGAGAAAGAGAGAGACGGAGAGAGGAGAGATGGATATATAAAGAGAGAGAGAAAGAGGGGGAGAGAGAGAGGGGGAAAGAGATGGAGAAGAGAGAGGGAAAGAGGGAGAGGAAGAGAGATAGTAATTGGGAGGGAGTGATGGGGAAAGAGAAAGAGGGAGAGAAATGGAGAGAGAGGCAGAGATGGAGATATATTCTAGTCTAAATGTTTACCTCTTTTAAAAAAAAACAAAACAACAACAGCGCAGAATTCACCGAAAAGTGCAATTAAAAAAACCCCCAAACCTTTAAAAATAAAGAAATAGGAAGAGGGAATAAAAAGAGACAAAATAATAATAATAATAATAATAATAATAATAATAATAATAAAAATAATAAAAATAATAATAATAATAATAATAATAAAGGAAAGACATTTATAAGGCGAGGACCTTCCCCTTCATCACAAGTATAAATACGTTTTGGAAATTAATCACCTTCTCGGGAGCAAAGGCCCGTGACGCTCGTGTATTAAACCGACATCGCTGCTACTATTAGAAAACTGTCATAAACGCCAACATTCAACCGTATATCGGTTAATAACAATAAGAATTGTGTTGGCTTAATGTGGAAAAATATTTATTACCGGAAAAAGAGAGAAGGTGTCGAATGATGTAATATTGGATTTAATTTGAACCTTATATGTACCACGGAATTACTAAGGGACCCAGTCAACGCGCCGTCTATTAAAGCACTGGTTTGTAAAAATAGGAAATGAATAAAATATTTATCCAAAAAATCCCCACCCAATACTAGTAATTTTAGAAACTAATCACCTTCTCGGGAGCGAGGCCACGAAGGCACATGACGCTCGCGTAACTGGGGCTGCGCGCGCGTTCACACGGGCGCGCGTTAGCCACCCACTCGCGCGGCCCAGTTGGGAATAGGACATCCGCCATTCCGGCAACCGTTCCTTATATGTTTTAGCCTCCGGTCCCCTGATCCTCTTTGTTGCTCTTCTCTGCACTCTTTCTAGAGTCTCCGCATCTTTTTTGACATCGTGGGGACCAAAACTGGACGCCGTATTCCAAGGGTGGCCTTACCAAGGCCTTGTAAAGTGGTAGTAACCCTTCATGTGATCTTGATTCTATCTCTCTGTTAATGCAGCCTAGCACTGTGTTGACTTTTTTGGCAGCTGCAACACACATCTGGCTCATATTTAGGGGATTGTCCACTAGGACTCCGAGGTCCCTCTCACAGTGGCTACTATTGAGCAAGGTACTCCCTATACTATACCTGTACATCTGGTTTTTCTCGCCTAAATGTAGAACCTTGCTTTTTTCACTCTTGAATTTCGTTTTGTTAGATAGCGCCCGGTGTTCGAGTCCGTCCAGATCCTCCTGTATCCTAAGCCTGTCTTCTGGAGCGTTGGCTATTCCTGCCAGCTTGGTGTCGTCTGCACATTTGATGAGTTCCCCATCCATCCCCTCGTCCAAATCGTTGATGAAGATGTTGAAGAGCACTGGGCCCAGGACGGAGCCCCGGGGCACCCCACGACACACTTCTCTCCGTGTAGACGCGGTTCCGTTGAGGACTGCACGCCGAGTACGGCCGGTCATCCAGCTACGGATCCATCTGGGGGGCGATGCTGTCTAGCCCACATTTTTTTCTATCTTGTCAAGTAGTAGGTTGTGATCTACTTTATGGAATCCACGTAAATTAGATCCACTGCGTTCCTCCGCTCCACCAATTTTGTCACCTGGTCAAAGAAGGCGATAAGATTCGTCCGGCGCGATCTGTTTGTGACAAACCCACGTTGGCTTTTAGGGATGACTTTGTTTGCCTCTAGGTGTTCATCCGATTCGTTGCTTGATTATCTTTCCCAGGATCTTCCCAGGTACTGAGGTCAGGTCTGTCGTTCCCTGGATCCATTTTTTTCCCCTTTTTTTGAAAAATTGTCCTTCAAGACGCTGCCGCGTTCGGCGGACACAGCTGGAGGTCACGTTGCCAAGAGTCGCGAAAAGGCCAGTCCTTCAGCGGGCGTCTCATGGATTCCCTTCTTCACCCCCCCCCACTTCTTGTGTGTGTTTGTGTGTGTGTGTGTGTGTGAAGGGGTCTGCCTGGCTAGCAAATTCCGGTGTTTCTGCCCTGTGGGCGGTTTCAGTTCTTCTGTGGCTCCTCCACGAAGCTCAACATCAAGGGTCAGTTGATTGAGGAGACACGGAAGGGCCGGGCTAGATGGCCTCGGGGTTCCTTCTCGCCCCTTCCCCCCTCCTGTGTGTAGACCCAGCCCCCAAATTGAGGCAGAGCCCTTGGCGATGCGATATGGAGCTGGCGGGCTCAGATTGTGCTAACGTGGCGGATGCCTCCTCCCCGATATGGCTGACGTAGCACCTGGGTGTAACCGGAGTGCCCTTTGGGAGCAGACCGGAGGAAGGGCTGGAGCAGCAGCAGCTGCCACCACCAGCAGCCCACCCCGCCACCACCTCTTGGCACCCCTAGAGACCCTCTTGTCCACCCCCCAGCTCGCCCGGCATCCAGAGAAACAGGGCGTTGGAAGAGGACGAGGGCTGGGGAAGAGTAGCACAATTCGGGGCGCCGAGCTTCACAGGGGCTGCTGCCCCCCTTGTTCGGGAGCTAACCTGGAGAAGGACACTGGCACGGCCCCCTGCACGCTGGGCACAGCCCCCCAACAAAGGAATTGGCACCAGGGAAGCACAGAAGCCACCCAATGGTCCCTTAGCACGGGGGTCCCCAACCACTGGGCCGTGGCCCGGGAGTGGGCCCTGGGCTGCTGGCCACTGGGCCACAGGACAAGCTAGCCAGTGCATGCACACACACATACCACTTGTGCTAGCACCGTAGCGCGGGGCACAAAAACAGGACGCTGAGCCTCGCAGTGCAAAAACAGGCCGCCGCGTGCCTCGGGGTGCAAAAACGAGACGACGACATGGGCATCGGGGTGCAATACCGGGACGCCGCGTGCCTTGGGGATCAAAAATGGGACATTGCTGCACCTCGGGGTGCAAAAACGGGACGCCGCGTGCCTCACGGTGCAAAATCGGGCCACCGCCGCATCTCAGGGTGCAAAAAGGGGACGCTGCACGTCTCGGGGCGCAAAAAGTGGACGCCCCTTTGTTGCAGGACGCAAAACTGGGACACCGCCGCACGCAGGGTAAAACAACCGGGCCAACGCCATGCCTCAGGGCACAAAAATGGGACGCCACACTTCAGCGCATGAAAACGG